CCTCTTGGAAAAATAACTCTCTTCAGCCAGTTGACTCTGGGATAGATGGAAAAGAACAGGGCAGGTGAAAATCTAAGAAAGCTCTCAGTTTGAGATTACTAATCTGGGTAAGGTTTGTCTTTCTCTGCAGGCGCATATTGAATGAAAGCTGTCTGCAGCCCTAGCTTTCCTCTTTCTTCCTTCAACTCAGTGCCCCGGTGTGGCAAAGTCTAAGTGATCATGATTTTGCTTACTCCAGTTTCAAAATGCCACACTATTCTATAAACAATCATGACTCCATCCCTTCAACAAAACTCAAACGCCCACAAGGATATATATTTCTGAAGACTGAAGGGAGATAATTCATTTATAAAATTTATAATGATTCCAAAGAGCACAAGTCAGGCCTGATACTGCTGACTGAGAAAATTCTTCAAGTGCTTTTATTTTTGGAAGGCTCCCCAGACCTTTGATTGGTTTAGAATTCATTTAGATCAGTGGTTCTCAACCCTGAGGGAGGTGTAAATTTCTCCCTCAGGGGACATTTGGCGACATCTGGAGACATTTTTGGTTGTCAATTGGGGGTGCTACTGGCATCTCTTGAGGATGGGAGTGCTGCTAAATACCCCACAATATAAGGCAGAGTCCTCTCCCAATAATTTTTCAGCCTCAAATATCAATAGTGCTAACACTAAGAACCCTTTGCTCAGGTGAAATGCTGAGACACTTATGTACAATTTCCCTGTTTCCTCATGTTCACCTTGGGACAGTTTTTGTCAAAGAAGATATGCTAAGTATTTGAAATTATATATGCTTCTCTGCTTAGGTGGTTGAAAGTAATGATCTGAATGATGGGAGTAATCTTGAAATAAACTCCTCCTGGTGGAGATTAGAATCCCCACACACTTTACCTGGGTTTCAGTGTATCTGTGTTGTTGGACAGGCAGGGTTCTCACTCCCAGTGCCGCCTACCTTTTCTGGGATTTCTGGTGGACATTACTCCCTGGAGGTCTGGATCAATCACTCGACTGCCCTGTGCACTCCAAAATATCCTACAGCAATAAAGGGTGAAGAGCCATCTGTCCTGTTTATGTGCGGACACACACCTTGCTTTGTCTTTATGGTAAAGGGTTTCAGCAGGTTAAAAGTTTAGTTTCAAACAGGTGAGTCCCATGTGTTAGCAACAGAGATGCTAGGTTTCACAAATTTCACTGAGTTGAAAATTCATGGTAATTCTAAGTCATTATTTTATAGGGTTTAAAACAAGAATAATATACAGTAAGGGGAGGAAAGAAATTTATCAATGCCAAGAAACCAGGCCTGTAGCTACAAACATGTACATAATTAAAGTGAGGGCTAGGATTGGACTTCTTCAGAAACACAGGTTTCAGATCTTAGGTAGAACCAGTCAGTAAAGGAACAGATAACCAGATAAATGAGTGTGGACTTCGATTTTTGAGGAATTTTGCTGTCTTGGGGGTTCAAAATGAATTAAGTCTTAAATTTTGGAACTGGTGCTTAAAATGTAGTGACAGACTTTTTGGGCTATTAAACGCATGAGGATGAAAAAGCCGAGGACAAGTCTCTCCAGATATGCCCACAGGAAGACTAAGCCCAATTGACAACAAGCCTCAGGTCCCTGGGCCTCACAGAGGCCCAGGAATCCAGGAGTCCAGAGGGCTCCCTAGCCCCTCCTCCTCCCCATGGCCAACCCAATAGACTTTTCCCAACTATTCATTTTACTATGCAGAATGTGACTTAGCATTCTTTCAAGAAGTGAAGCCTTCTAGCTCTAGATCTATGTAAGCCCGAGGCTGTGGCTGGGCAGAGGCTGCTGGCTCTTCCCTGTGGGCATCTCCCAGGTGGCCATGCCCTGTCCTGAGTGCTCACCTACAGGGCCACACTTCCGCGGTGCTCACTGCTTCTGGGGTCTTAGAAAAGACACCTGGTACACAAACCCTGCCAAAGCCAGTGCCAGGCCAACTCTCTCCTTCCCAGGTGTGGCCCGTTTTATACCATTCTCTCTGAAAACGGATGTGAAAGATGTGGAGAAAGGAATTCTAGGAAGCGACAGGTGAGAGGATCGCAGCTAGCAGTCTAGGGAAACTTAGAAAAGACAGCTGGTGCACAAACCCTGTCAAAGCCAGTGCCGGGCCAGCTCGTTCCTGTCCAGGACTGGCCCGTTTTACCCAATTCTCTCTAACAATGGACGCGAGATACCCGGAGAAGGGGATTCTAGGAAGCCACAGGAGAGGCGATCTCAGCTAGCAGTCCAGGGAAACGTCTAGGAAGACGGAGTTCTGGGTCTCCCAATGTAGGCCTGCCGGGCGCAAGAAAAGTCTCCTTGTTTTCAAAAGCAAATCGAGCCCCACCCCTAACCCACCTCCAAAACCAGCCAACCCCCCAGAGCCCAGAGCACAGCGCCATCCATCCAGGCCCGCGCCCTGCAGGAGTCCAGGTGCCGTCCGAACCGGCGTGCGGCTCTAGCTCAGGTGCAAGCGGTGCTCGCTCTCGCCCGGTGTCATGTGCGAGAACTCTTAGCAGTCCTGGCTGTGGTTGCCACTGCACTCAAACGGGTTGTGGAAGCCGTGGCAGCCCATGTGGATGGTGTACATGACGTGATCCAGGAAGAGCAGCCGGCAGTGTTTGCACTTGTACATGTTCAGGGGCTCGCCACTGGCGCTGAGCACGTGTAAGGCATCCGGGGCGCCCTCCAAGGCTACGTGCAGCAACTCCTAGGTGCGCAGCTCCTCCAGCAGGGCCAGCCCGTTGCGCGCGTGCGGGGCCAGGTGGTTGGTCAGGTAGACCAGGCTGCCGCGCTGCTCCTCGGTGTTGCTCTCGGTGTCTGTGGAGTCCGGGCAGTTGATGCTCGGGGACGCCTCCCGCTCCGAGGGCACCGGCTTGGCCTTGGAGAGTAGTAGCAGGTTCTCCACGGCGCTGTCCTGCACCGCGTGGTTGGAGCGCGACCTCGGCGAGTGGCTTGTGCAGCGGGTACATGGGGCCCAGCACCAGGACCCTCTCAGCGGCGCCCGGGGGCGTCTGCAACAGCGGGCGCAGCGGCTCAGTACCCAGGTAGTTGATGGCGTTGTTGATGGCCTGGTCCATCACATGGGACTTCTTCAGCTGGCTCTCCTTCTCATAGCCGGCACCGCCGTCGAAGGGCATGTTGGACAGGCAATTGTCCCCTGTGGGAGGCAGGTGATAGTGAGCGGGCCGGCCAGGGTGGGCGCGGTCGCGAGGGCGCAGAGCCACCACGGTGGGGTAGTGTGGGGAGGGGAGGGGGACCACCGCCTGCGGGGCCCCAGCCCAAAGCTACATACTGGGATGGGGGCGAAGGGACCTCCGCTTGTGGGGCCCCAGCTCAAAACCACACCGCGGAGGGGACGAGGGGACCTCTGCTTGCGGGGCCCAGCTCAAATCTACACCCAGGGAGAGGAGCAAAGGGACCTCTGCACGCACACCCACCGCTCCCGGCCGCGAGGGCAAAGGCCAGTCCACCTCTGCTGGGTGCCAGGCCAGGAGCCAACTCCTTGCAGACACTTAGATCTGGCTGGATAAACGGACATGCAAATAATGAAGCCAAGGTTGCCCACGTCAGTTTCAGCGGCGCACATTTAAACATCAAAAGCGATGCTTGCGCCTTTTATTACAAAAGGGTGGTATGATTAAACACTATTATATTTAATTGTATTATTTATTCAATTGTATTCTATTTCTTTGAATATTTTAAATGACATATTTTCAATAGCGTGTGCTAATTTGCAACTAATCTAGCACACATTTAATTAAAATACACAAAAACTACATTATTCACAATACACAATATGTTTATTTAAAATAGTATTCTGTGATATATTAAACTCATACTTTTAATCCAGGATAAAATTTAATCAAAATATATGATTGCCTATTACTTATTATAAAGCGATAAGTTTCTTATAAATAACACAAAGGCCAATCGGCCCTCTATCTTAGAATGTGAGTCAAAAGGACACTCAAGACTCAGAAATGAGTTTCTGTTGTTGGCAGGACTGAAACAGTACTCAGCAGAAATGTGGTGGAAAGTGGGAAGCAAACCATGGAAGTTGGAGGAAACTGGTTTGCTGTTTACGTATTATATTAAAAAGTATGGAGGATACTTGATATACAAGGAACCAGTAGTTCCTTAAGACCCAGCAGTGATGGGGCCCTGGCCTCAAAAAGCTTATGATCTGGTGTTATCTGCGTGGAGGAGGAGATGAGATCATTTCCCTGGTAACGGTGACATCTGGGTCTAGATTTGGCTCTTTGAAATTAGCTTTGGGGCCAGGCGCAATGGCTAACGCCTGTAATTCCAGCCTTTGGAAGGCTGAGGCAGGAGGATTTTAGGAGCTCAGGAGTTTGAGATCAGCCTAGGCAACATAGTGAGATCTCATCTCTCTACTAAAAATAAAAAAAAGTCCCAGCTACTCAGGAGGCTGAGGTGGAAGGATCACCTGAGCCCAGGAGGTGGAGGCTACAGTGAGCAGTGATCATATCACTGCACTCTAGCCTGAGTGACAGAATGAGATGCCAACACACACAAAAAAGAAGAAATTAACTTTGGAATAAACATTTCAATAAAATAGGTTCTCTGGAAGATACACCTTCTCAATATATTAGTCACAAGTTCAGTAAAAAGTCATGGTATAATTAGCCAATTCATTAACTACAAAGTAACTCTGTACCCTATGGGCAGGCTACTG